CAACACATTGTTCTGCCAAATTGTGAAGCTCTACGTTAAATAATGTGGGTTGTATCGCGATTTCAACAGAATGAATATATATACTTTATGGGGTCTAGGACAAATAATTCAAACAAATATTCTCTCCTTTTTAAGGTGGAGGTTATAAAAATACCGAATAAAGGCAGGACCGTTATATGGGGGATATACGAAGACGTGGACCGACAGCGCCCATTTAGAAACTTAACGTACCTACTGGCACGCACAGACAGCCGGTCTCGTCGATAAATCGACTTAGAATTTTTCGTTGCTCCAGAATATATATACTTTGTAGGGTCTATCATAAGTATTTCGAGGAGTTACAAACGGAATGACAAAGTTAATACCCTCCATAGAATGGTGGTGGGGGATATAAAAAACAGAAAAAAAAACTTATAAACATGTCTATGAGCATAACATCATCTGCGGTTCGGGGTAGGCTGGAAAAACACTTTTTGCCACATCTATATATTCAGGAAAAGAGATGTTTGATACGCGGTCCAAAACCTTTAATCCGTAGTTATTTTAAGTGAATTTAGTATTTATTGAAATAAGCCTTGCAAGCCTCCAAATTAGAATAAAACGAATGGGTTACAAGGCTATAGGAATCTGCATCACATTTGCTCTTCGATTAGTGAACATCTCAAATGTTGCCGATCAATGACTTCTACCCTTAGATTACCCATTTTTAAAATATTCTGCAAGTAAATTAAACCGAAGCTTATTTCTTCCAATCGTGGTGTTCTGCACGCAATTATTTTTCGCCATCATACGTCACGTATTAATGAACCAACTGATGCCGATCTCTTCGCAACACGTTGCGCTCCCCAATAGTCTTCGTTATCGTCAGGAACACTGGCTCCGAGAATATTTATACCCTACACCACATAGTGGTAAGGGTATTATGTCTTTGTGCATTTGTTTGTAACATGGAGAAGGAAACGAGATAGACCCATAGTTACTTTTGAGAACCTTCATAGAATCACTTTCTGAGTCGATTTATGCATGTCAGTCCGTCTGTCCGTCCGTCCGTCCGTCCGTCTGTCCATGTATTCTTGTGAACAAAATGCAGGTCGCATTTATTATCCGATTGAGATGAAATTTTCCAAACAATATTTTTTTGGCCCAAGGACGAACCCTATTGAAATTGGTGAGAATCGGATCAAATTTAGATATAGCTCCCATATATATCTTCATCCGATTTCGGGTTAAATGTGCACCAAATATCCACTATCAGTCCAAATTACCTGAATTTTGGCACACCCAACCGAGTTCGGCCTAGAAGCAAGTATATCAAATTTGGAGAAAATCGGTTCAGATATAGCTATAGCTCCCATATATATCTTTCATCCGATTTGATCTTTAAGTCCCTCACATTTCTACTATGCACTCCACAACCGTGATATTTGGTACCAGGTATTAGATGGAGCACATAAATAGCTATTTTAAATTTTATCGAAATCGGTTCAGATTTGGATATAGCTCCCATATATATCTTCATCCGATTTCGGGTTAATTGACCACCAAATGGCCAATATCAGCCCAAATGGCCCGAATTTTGGCACATGTGACCGAGATTAGCCTTAAAGCAAATACAACAAATTTGGAGAAAATCGGTTCAGAAACAGCTATAGCTCCCATATATTCATCCGATTTCGGGTTAAATGTGCACCAAATGTCCACTATCAGTCCAAATTACCTGAATTTTGGCACACCCAACCGAGTTCGGCCTAGAAGCAAGTATATCAAATTTGGAGAAAATCGGTTCAGATATAGCTATAGCTCCCATATATATCTTTCATCCGATTTGGTGTTTAAGCCTCTCACATTCGTAATATGCACTCCACAAGAATGATATTTGGTACCAGATATAAGATACAGGCCAGAAATAGCTTTTTGTAATTTTATCGAAATCGGTTCAGATTTGGATATAGCTCCCATATATATCTTCATCCGATTTCGGGTTAATTGTGCACCAAATGGCCGATATAAGTCCAAATGGACTGAATTTTAGTACATCGGACCAAATTCAGCCTAGAAGCAAGTATATCAAATTTAGTGAAAATCGGTTCAGATATAGATTTAGCAACCATATATATGTTTCGTCCGATTTAGAGTTTTAGTCCCATACATTCGTAATAATCACTCCACAACCGTGATATTTGGTACCAGGTATTAGATGGAGCACAGGAATAGCTGTTTTAAATTTTATCGAAATCGGTTCAGATTTGGATATAGCTCCCATATATATCTTCATCCGATTTCGGATTAAATGTGCACTAAATGGTCAATATCAGCCCAAATCACCAGTCTAGAAGCTAATACGTAAAATTTGGAGAAACCCGGTTCAGAGATAGCTATAGTTCGTAAAATGCACGATAGAATTAGATAGATTTAGATAGAGCTCTGAAATGCCCTGCATAAACCTTTTTACGAGAGCTCTACTAAATATGCATAGTGGTGTAGGGTATCATATAGTCGGCCCCGCCCGACTTTTGAGCTTTCCTTACTGGTTTTCTTTATTCGGTAGCACAGACACATAACATTTTTAACGAAAGATCCTCGTTATTCATAAGCCCCGATATAATCCTACATCCCTATATTCTGCACTCTGATAATACCAGCAACAATCCTCAACGGAATTGTTTGAAATTGTACATTTATTGAAATTGATTCTATCTACTGTAACATAACGTTGTCTACACTTTCCTTCAGCCCCCATATAACGCTACCATCGGTATTTTGACGAAATTGTTTGAAATAAATATTGTCTCCTAGAACCTTCCAAGTCTTATTATAAACGCCTTTTCTAATTGGTATTTCACTGGTATTTGCCGATTAAACTGGAATTCGATGCAATATTAAATTCTGACATATTTGTGTAAGAAATAGATGGCCTTATATTTTCATTAAAAAATAATTTACTCTTATAAAAAATGCTATAAAGCTCTAAATACACATTTTTCTTTCTTTCTTTCAGGAGCCGGCTTGGCAAGTGTAGTGGTGTCGTTTCTAATGTCCACCTACTATAGTGTCATTATTGGTTATTCAATTTATTACTTCTTCACAGCGTTTAAAACGGAAATGCCATGGGTGGATTGTAATAACAGGTAATCTTCAAACTATATACATAATATTAATGTAGAAAAACATAATTACTTTATTTACCATGCAGATGGAACACTCCCGACTGTTGGGTACCACAGCGAGTAGGAGATAATACCACATCGCCACCAATGTCAAGGACACCATCGGAGGAATTCTTTGAGTATGGTTTACCCCTAATTGAATAGATGGAAGAGAATTGTTGATTAAATTATTAAATCTCCTTTGCAGGAACAAAGTGTTACAAATTAGTCCTGGCCTGGAATATCCTGGCACAATGAGATGGGAATTGTTTGCCTGTTTAATTTGTGCCTGGTTAATGGTGTACTTTGCCACCTGGAAATCAATCAAGTCATCGGCAAAGGTAACGTTTTAAAGTTCAATTGCATATTTTGTATGTCATTGAAAACCTGGTATTTACAGGTACGCTATTTCACTGCCACCTTCCCCTTTATACTGATCATTATACTCATGGGCCGTGCTGTAACCTTGGAAGGAGCCGACGATGGTTTGCGTTACTTTTTCCGTCCCAATTGGGATGAGCTGAAGAATGCCAATGTCTGGATTAATGCAGCTTCACAGAACTTCAATTCGCTGGGCATAACATTTGGTTCGATGATTTCCTTTGCCAGCTATAACAAGTACAACAATAACATTTTACGTGACACCATTGCCGTGAGTGTGGTAAATGTTCTGACCAGTCTACTGGTGGGTGTGTTTGCATTTGCCACTTTGGGAAATTTGGCATTGGAACAAAACACCAATGTTAAGGATGTAATTGGTGATGGTCCCGGACTGATATTTGTCGTTTATCCCCAGGCAATGGCCAAAATGCCATATGCCCAATTGTGGGCGGTAATGTTCTTCTTTATGCTGTTGTGTTTGGGTTTGAATTCACAGGTAATGGGTGATGATGATTTAGAATGTTTGTTAATAAATCCTTGTAAATTTTCAGTTTGCCATTGTGGAAGTGGTTGTCACCTCAATACAGGATGGTTTCCCCAATTGGATTAAGAAACATTTAGGTTATCATGAGATTGTAGTTTTAATAGTTTCGGTTATATCGTTTCTATTTGGATTGCCAAATTTAATACAGGTGGGTATCATTGTTTAACTTTTTTCTTATGACCTGATAATTATTTAAAAAACATTTTAAAAGAGATTTATGCCTGTAGCCAAAAATCAGACATATTCTTAAAAAAGCCATGCTTCATCAAACATCTGCATCTCTGTCTGATTTTCATTTCATTATCATTTTTAGGGTGGTATTTATTTCTTCCAACTAATGGATCATTATGCTGCCTCTGTTACAATCATGTTCTTGGCTTTCTGCCAAATGATTGCAATCGCCTGGTTTTATGGCACAGGACGTCTATCGAAAAATATTAAACAAATGACCGGAAAGGCACCTTCTTTATATTTGAAATCATGCTGGATATTGTGTGGACCTTGTCTGCTGTTTGTAAGTAAACCATGAAAATAATTGTGAATTGAAAATAATTAAATTTACATTTTCAGGCAATTTGGATATTGAGTTTAATCAATTATAAAGAACCTACCTATCACAATGGCCGCTACACTTATCCGGATTGGGCGTACGGTATTGGTTGGATGTTTGCTTCATTTTCATTGGTCTGTATACCGGGTTATGCAATTCTAAATTTGTATAAGGCTCAAGGTCGTGATATACAAGAGGTAAAACATGGAATATGCATTTAAAACAATGTTAAAAATTTTATTTTGTTTTTCATTTCCTTAGCGTCTACAAAGTGCATTGCGTCCCAACATTTATGAGTGTCGAATTTGTGGAGAACATCATTGTGAACACGACTTCCCCGAACAGGAACAGTATATGTTAGCCCAAGAATTAGCCGGTGTCTATAAACCAACAGTTGTGGGTACAAATGTCCATGTAACTGGGCAAAAATCTGGCTATAATCCAATGCATTTGCATGTGCAAATGGAAAAGCCACGCGACACTGCACCGCCACCATCCCGAGACGATGGCCATGAGATGCCTACAACATCAACAGTGAATAAGGGAAATTTGGAGGATGGCCAAGCAAGATGATTCTAACTGAAAATTGGAGAAACCCACATTTTAGGCTTTTATTTAAAATTCATATATTGTAGTGTACTTTTAGGCATTTTGAATGTTATCCATTCCAAACAAGAGAATAAAACATTATTTGTTTTTTGTTAAATGTTATAATAGAACAAATTCAAGGTTTTGTTAGGCAATAATAGTAACATATGAAAATGTATTGTTGTTAATAGTATTTTACAAACAAAATAATAAACGAAAATTTCAAATGAACAAATGTTAACTATTTTTTAAATTAGATATTCCCTTGGCCTTTCATAGACATGTTCAAAGGAGATTTAGACTTTATAAAAAATAAAAAAATAATGGATTTTCACACGTTGTTGTTAACCCCGACATCTTCAAACGAATGTCCATCTTGCTATAGTTTATATATTTTATTAATTATTAAATATACATATATTATTAAATATTCAACATAACATAAATTTACAACATTAAAACATAACGATACAACTGATCGAATTCATCAATTTTTGGTACAGCATTAAAGTTTCTGGGAATTTTACAATATTCCTCGTAAATGCGTAAACTTTCCTCACTGACGGTGGGTGGTTTAACCGACAGATATGAATCGGTACCATAATCACTCAGTGGCTTCAAATTGATACCCGGCAAATTACGTAGTTGTATACCATTTGCATTGGATTGGGCGACCGTATTCATAGAATTTCCCATTGCAGCAGCTCCATTGCCAGTTAGTTTCGAAATTTGTACATAACGTTTATAAATATCCATACTCTCCTTGGAGGGATTACTCACTTTACAACCATAAACTTCTTCCATTGGTGGCAATAACGACTCCAGAGTAATTGATGTTTCAATTTCTTTACTTTGCTTTTGATTCTGCTCCTTTAGAGACAGACTTGCACTGAACTCTTCATCCGTTGAGGTATCATCGGCCTCCGACGATGAACTAGAATCATTACTAGCCGTAGAGCTGGTTGAACTTTGGCCAGTAAGTGAGGGATTTTTAGGTTTTTTACGCTCTTGTATCTGTTTTTGGAATGGCGAGTAATTGGTACGGAATGTTGGCAAATGTCTCATAGCAACTTGACTTATTTCAAATGAGATATGTTCATTCAGTTCAGTCCATTTGAAAGATTGATAGAAATTGGAATAGCCATCAATCATTTCCAAATCTCGAGTATGAACACGAAAGAGTTCCTTAACAATTCGATTGGAGTCGGAACATGAGTAGGGCAAACATTTGCGTATTTTCAACCGCACCCAATCGGTAATGAGACGGGTTTCATGTCTGGGCGACAGAGGCCTATAGGCATTGTGCATATAGTAATCACTTTGTAACTCCCAAATAGGCTGGTTAACTACAATTAAAGACAAAAAACAATTATTTAGATCAAAATCAAATCTTAGTACTTTAAATAGCCTTACGTTTTGTATGACTTTTACTGGGTATATAATAACCCAAAAACAAATTTATACTGTGCTGCTTTTCGGTGTCATTGAAAGTGTTGCTGTAATAACGACTCAACGTCTGCATTATATCATTGCCCTGGGAGGCCCATGCCGCTGTTTTGCGATATGTCTTGATGCGATGTACCAACTGGGATCCTCCATATTGTAGAGCCAATGTATCACCATGTTCTTCATAGAGATTTTCCAACATTGTCACACAAACCGAATCGAATTCCAAATTCGGAGACTTAATGAAACCCAAACGTTCTAACTGATGGCCCAAGGCACATTTCCCAATGGCAAATTGTGCCGTATTTGTACGATCCAAACAATCAACACAATTGGTTCGAACTATACCAGTTTGAAATGTCAACGGCTGCCCTCTGGCCTTAAAGAACATTCCGTTCTGCTGGACAACAAATTCAGCAATATCAGCCAACATTTCCATTACATTGCCGCCGCCACGACTTTTTCGTGCCATATCGAATGGAATATATTTCATGCGATGTTGTGGTGGCAAGAATTGATTCAAATAACGTATAGAGTTCACCAATTCCTTGGCAATTATATTTTCATGCTGACGTTTTTCACGCTTCTTGACCAAATTAAGCATTATTAGCGGTGATCCATAGTGGAAAAGCAAACGTTCGAAATGCCTGGCCGGAGTTTGGGCATAGGGATCTGAAATATCCAATTGTATTGGCGGTTTTGGTACCATTTTACTAATGTCCTGAGACCAATGTGATGGCACAGACCCTCTCATTTGTGTAAACGAACACATATTATGGCCGTCACTTACAATCTGCTCTGTTTCCACTTCATTTGCAACATCGCCACGGAAATTGGCACCACGTTTGAGGAAACGTGTACCAGCATATCGGGTGCTTCTTCTGGCAATCAAACAAACATTAACCCTTCTTCCATATATACTTATACACGATTGACTTATATAACCATGGGTTACCTCCAACAACCAATCTCTCAACATAATTCCCTTCATGGGTTCCAACAGGAAAGCATTCCATACAAAGCGTTTACGTGAACAACTACGATAGGCGTAATCCACCCGTTCATTGGCCTTTTCCACATTGTTCGTCAAAGAGTCCCATTCGGGTAAGGGTTCATCAACTTCTATATCCACATTTGGACCAACATAACGCGGAGCCGACAGATTATATTGCAATGTCCTTGTCAAATCGTACGAATACGAAAAATAGAAATTGCTACGCAAATCAATATTTTGAAACATCTTTTTGTAGCGTTCCTCATATGGATGTGGTGTTTTCAATGTATTCAATGGTTCATTGACTTTAACCATTACCGTGTCCTTAATCGTGTATATCAAATGCATACCCAAATGCGCACATGATTTTCTCTTTGTTACCAAAATCAAATAGTATCCTTCGAGAAAACGAACAAATCCCAAAACACCATAGGCCGATGTTACCTTGGGCTGTCCACCCAACGATCCCACGAAACGGCGAATCTCCAATGCATTATATTCATTGGGATTCTCATCAATGGCCAGACGATCATGTTGAGTCCTATCAATGGTCAGCAGACGAAAGCGCGTCTCCCTGTTGTTACTGCCCACCAAATAAAGACGCTATTCAAATATATAAAAGGAAAATTTATGTTATTAGGAAAATACAATAACAATCAATTTTATCATACCGTTCGTGTTTCATAAAGCACCACTTTCTGAATAGCACTTATCAGGGGATTAAAAATTATGTTTGGATTGTTATTATTCATTTCTGGACTGACTCAAACCTATCAGTGACCAGTAGTGTTTTTGTTTCTGCAGTAGAGTTGTGTGGTTCTGAAACGATCTAGTTCAATGAACTATTCTGCTCAAGGAATGATGGGAACTATATCCATACTAAATTGTTCATTTTGCTCACCTTTGTTTATTTATGTTGTGTTCAGACGAACTTTTCATTATTATTTTTACAAGGGCAATTATTATTATTGTAGAAGAAATGTTTTGTTTTTATTTTTCAAAACAACATATACATATACAAAATTGGCAGAAGTCGGGCACACCTAGAAAAAAATTATAATCAGCTGGGATCTCTACCTTACCTTTTTATTGTACCATGGGTATATTAAGTTTGTTATTCCGTTTGTAACACCTCGAAATATACATTTTAGACACCACAAGGTATATATACATTCTTGATCAACATAAAATTCTATGCCGATTTAGCGATGTCAGTCCGTCTGTGGAAATCACTCTAGCTTCCCACTTCATAGGTTAATATTTTTTTTTTTGGTATCGAAAATATAATGGTATCCTGTAGTGGAATTCTCTAACTCATTTTTTGAGTTACCGACAAAGTCGGTGAACTTAAAATGCATATAACTTCGGTAATTAACGAAATTTTTCGGTAAGGTGGCGACGAAATCAAAGTAGTCGTTAAGACCTACCGATAGATACCAATGCACAGTGGTCGCTGCCATTGGCCAAAATTCAAAAAATGAAAATCAAATATATATTGTCAAATGTGTACAAATGAACTCTTAAGGGGTTAAGCTTTTTAGAATACATAATAATCTTGGCTTCATTCTAACGGGACACTTCGAAAATAGCATCAAAAAAGAGAAAATGTAGTTAGTTGTTTTTTTCAGTGGGATCAGAGAAAAAGTGGAGTAAAAATAGAACTGTATTACAAAATTAAATACATTTTAAAATTACAAATCTTGGCATTATTATTGAAAAGCAAGGTATTAACTTATTTTTAGTCCAGTAATTTGTGTGTTTAGTATATGTGTATAATATAGAAGATGTGAGAGTTCTGAGTTGCCTTTAAGATTAATTTTGAAAATAAAATTGGATTTCAGTTAAAGTGTTAATTATTTTCCCCCCTGAATCCCCCAATGTGATTTTTTTCACGCCATTAGTAATGGTCCTAAGATTCTGAAAGTGCTAATTTAACTTTCAGATTTTGTCAGATGTGTACGTTATGCCCAATATACTGAAGTGACTTCGCTGCAATTTTGTCAGTTCTATGGTGCTAGTGACATAGAATATATTTTTGTTGTTAGGGATTGATAAGGATGTAATTGAGGGGTGTTCAATAATGTTGCAAGCATTGTCCTCTGGGTATAATAATAAGGCCTTTGCACTGGAAACTGCTAAAAAGTTAACAAATTTATATCCATGGCACTATCTTCCAAGTTTCGACTAAATTATGCCCGAAAAAATTCTCGTGTTTCAACAAACACAGATCTTATTAACCGTCTTCTTCTGAGCTCTGACCCTTTTATAATGGGACAGCGAACCTTACCAAACAATAACCAGTGAAGAAAGTCTTAAAGTCGAGCGGGCCGACTTCATGATACCCTACACCACTTTGCATATTTAGCAGAGCGTCACATAACAAAAAAAGGTTTTAATGGGGAATTTGTGAGAATTAAATCATACCAACAATGATTATAGTATTAATTAAAAGTCCAAAGGAACTAATATATGGAAGGAATATCCTCCTCTGAATCGATTTCTATTAAATTTGTCGAGGCATTTGCGCCTTTTCAATTCGGGCTTATATTATCCATTTGGTGCACAATTAACTTGAAATTGGATAGATATATATGAGAGCTATATCTAAATTTGATTTGGGCTAATATTACAGGTTTGGTGCACAATAAAAGGAAAATCGGATGAAGATATAAATTTGAGCCATGCCCAAATATTAACAGATCTCGATAAAATTTAGAAAGGGTATTTCTGAGTTATATTTGATATATTTCCCCAAATATCGTTGTCACAGAGTGCATATTACGGCTGCGGAGGACAAAAATAACAAATCGGATGAACAATATATATGGGAGCTATATATATATCTGAACCGATTTCGATCAAATTTGGCATACTTATTTTCAGGTCCCATCTGGTCGTACATATATTCCATACTATTTGGGCTGATATTACAAGTTTGGTGCACAATATAAGGCAATTTGGATGAATATATATGGGAGCTATACCTAAATTTTGACCGGTTATATCCAATTTCAATAGGGCCTTAAGTCAAACTAATTATTTGTGCAAAATTTATCTTTGATTTAATTTTACATTAAATTGTTATTTTATTTTGTTTACAAAAAATAATCAAATTTGGACTTGATTTGTATAAAAACTGCTTCTATTTTTGGAGCTACCTTACAAGGGACTCTACCTGATGGCGGGCTGTTCCAAATAATTTTCAGTAAGATTATTTTTTAGCTCCTTAGAACGTAAAATGTCAAGTAACATTACAATCTGGTGTAGAAATGTGACAAGAATTGGGCACATAACCCTTATTCGGGAGGTACGTTATATGGGGACCATGCCAAAACATGCATCGACCATATCCATTTTGTCACATTTTTTATAGTTATCCCATCAAGGTACCATAAGCAAAGATTCATATGGATATCTGCACTAAAAGTATTTTTGGCCGCTGTTCCCATACGACCTCGACCACTGTGCAATGTTGTGAACTTTAACTTCTTTTTCATATCAAAAATTTTGATTTTAAAGTTACCGAATATTGTCGGTAATAATAGTTGTGTTCCAGTACTTTTTTAGTAGTAAAACTAGCAGAAGAGAGAACAGTTCGAAATGTCATTCTCATTTAGGTTTGCTCAAAAAATAAGGGAACGGAAAATTAGCAGAAATGCGATAAAATGTCAAAATTCAAAATTCCTAAAGTAAACAGCCTAAATCGGACTGGTGAAACCTTACTGAAAAGAGCGCCAACATTTAAAAAATGAGTATTGAAGACGATAAGTTAAAATTAATAATTTATAATAATAATTAATAATCTGATTCCTCATTCAGCCAGTCCTCTTCACTGCTGGAATCATACAAAAGTGAATACATCAGTTACTCCATATTTTCTCTTTTTGTTTTTTGCACGACAAATATTAGTTTTTCCTTTAGTTTTCAAGTTGATCATTTTCTTTATTGAAATGTATCAATACATTTTTCAACCTTGTTAGCCCTGCCAATTAAATGTCAAATTTACTATATGCACATTTCTGCTCGGCCAAATTCATGTAGCTAAAACAAGCAGAAATGTGCACCACTCAGCGCCATTTTTTTCTCGAGAGAGCTGCAAGTTTTGCTAGTTTTTGGAGTACGGGAACGCGTTGTAGCAGAATTAGTGCTAATTAGTACTAATTTGCAGGTTCTGGAACACAACTAATATAAAATAATGACTTAGAGAATCCCACTACTGATATTCGGTATTTTGATGATTTTAGCGATATTATTTACCGGAATTCTTTCAAATTTGGATTTGAAGTTCGCAATGAATACTACAGCCTATGACAGAAAATTTTCTGTGCAGGTCCACGTCTTCGTATAGCCCCCATATAACGGTACCCCCCGATATTTGGCATTTTGACGATTTTAGCGACATTTTTTACCGGAATTGTTTCAAATTTCATATTTGAAGTTTGTAAAGGATACTACAGTCTAAAATTAAAAATGGACCATGTAGGTTCACGTCTTCGTATATCCCCCATATAACGGTACCTCCCGATATTCCGTATTTTGATGATTTTAGCGACATTATTTACCGGACATTTTCAAATCTGGTATTTGAAGTTCGTAATGAATTCTACAGCCCATGACAGAAAATAGTCTGTGCAGGACCACGTTTTATAACCCCCATGGTACCTCCCTATATTCGGTATTTTAATGATTTTAGCTACATTATTCACCGATTTTTTTTTCAAGTTTCGCATTTGAATATTGTAATAGCTTATGACAAAAGGTGCCTATGCGGGTCCAAGTCATCGTATAGACCCTAATATACGGCTACATTCGGTATTTTTAAAATTTTAACAGAATTTTTAACGGATTTTATGTTTTTAAAAATTGCCAAGTTCGTTCCAAATGGTGGAGGGTATTCAAATTTCGGCCCTGCCGAACTTACAGCTTTTTGACTTGTTAATTTTTTAATGCTTAATTTCTTTTTATGGCGGTCTTTTTTTTTTTTTTTTTTTTTTTGTTTTCAGCTCAATTTTCAAAGTTTTCTTGCAAAAGAGAATAAAACTACTTTATTCTCTCGTAATTATCCAGCATCTTACGAGAGGATAAGGGAGAAGTAAATCGACAAACCTCATAATAGGTGTGTCTGGTTACTTTTCCAGCAGGAATTGTCCAGTAACTTCTTTCTGAGAGAGTAAGGTAGTTTTATTCTCTTTTGCAAGGAAAATGCGAAAAGTAAACAGACGGTATTCCTGCAGAAGCTTGCATCTAATCAGCTGATTTGTCAAAACAAACCAATTTGTCCCCCATAAGGAGAATTAAAACAAAGGAACCAATACTAATTTTACAAGTTTTTTAAATAAAAATGTTGGAAATAGTCGTTTATTTTCTTATTGCATATTAACATTTACGTTTTTCACATTTTGTAAAGTTGTTCTCCAAAAACTATTAGTCTTGCTAATTCCAAAAAAATATTTTCAAATTGAAAGCACAAAAAGAAATAAACAAACAATAGAAAACATCTGATTGAATGTCGATGAATGAGAAGAAGAGTTGCAAGTGATTCCAAGAAGAAATTTTTCCAGCAAGAATTTGCAAACTCTCACTGAAAGAACTGTCAAAATTTCTCTCTCCAACCGCTCTCTTTTGCAGAACTTTTGGGTTAACAGACGACTTCCAGTAACAATTTGTAACAATTGTTACAAACTTTAGGGTAACCAGACACACCTAATGCGTCACTCAGATAACGATCGATAACTGCAACTTCCTTCGCCATAAAACGAATAAAGTTTTTTTACAATATAAAATATTTGAATTTCGTTATTTTGGTCGGTTTAGTAACGGAAACACCAGTTTACTGGGCGCTCTTATTTAGTACCACGAAAGTTATGAATTGTAAAATAACCACTACCTGCATTCGAGTAGTCTACAATCGATCGGTGAAACACCAGTTTTGCAGTTGACATCTAACGATCGTAAACAAAAAGTGAACTAAAAATATATTTTAGAAATATAAATTATATTTGTCCACGCTGATGCACGACAAATGCTAAAGAAAATAGTTTTTCATTGACAGATAATAAACAGTTAAACGATTCCTGCAGTCAATTACGAAGATTAACCGTGCACTCCAAAACCAGTGCCACCTTTCTGTGGTGTTTTGTTATTGACGAAGACACAGCAACAAAAATCATCATTAAGTGCAATTATACAAATATTTTTGTTATAATTTTAATACAAATTACAGTTAGACGACGATGATGCAAAACTAGAGAAATTTAACAAATGAAAACGGTACAAAATTAGCAAAATTATGTAAATATCAAATTGAAAAATTTACAACTGAAGCAGCAGACGAAAAACGTAAATGATATGTGATTAATGAATGAAATGATCCAAACATCAACCAGCCAGCAGAGTAAGTCAGCAGCACCCCAACATAGACATGCCAAAGCAAAAACGAATGGGCATAGGTAATGTGAAAAAAGTACAACGACAACGTCGAAAAGAAACAATTTTCAATGCGCATAATCAGCGGACCATTGGCTGTGGACCATTTGTAAAGAAAAATTAATATTGAATTGTGTGCGTGTGTAATAGGTGGATGCACTTGCTCAGTGGAGGTGGTCGCGTTATGGTTATTAATATTGAAAACTAAACAAATTGTAGTGTTTTAACAATTTCGACTTCATAAGGGCAGTAGCCAGTACTTCTTTACCGTTCATTTTTTCTGCTCGGGAAAACATTAATCGTGGTGAGCTGCACTACATGGCAATGTGCGCGAATGCATATTACAGTGTTGAGATCTATTATGAAAATCTTACAAAAATAAAAAAAGAACCGTTCATTGTTGCTAGTATAGATTGAAGAAACCGTAAAGAAGAAAATCTAATGCAAAGTAAAAGAAAAAAAGAGAAAATTTTCCAACCACTAAGAAAAGCTGGGAGGAAATTATGCAAATCGTAACAACAACAACAAGTGTGTGTTAGTGAACAGACAAAAACCTAAGGAATTCAAAAATATACAAATAATTAGCAAAAGAAAATGCTTACCCTGCTTAGCGAGTGCCACTTTTGGACAACTCGTGAGGATATACGTATCAAACACACCGACTTTGGTTGTCTACGTTATACGCGACATCGTGAACTCCAACAATTGCCGGCCAATGACTTGTATGCGGAAGCAAAAAGGGATTACATAGAACGCCGCAATGGTGTGGCTGTGCTGAAGAGTTCACGCAAAGCCATTGGTCGTCTCAAGGATAATCTCAAGCGTTTAGAAGAACTTTTGCGCACCCATCAGAAGGTAGTGCATATCCATTGGCCCGAAGATTCACATGTGCTATTGTTGTTTGCAAATGGCATTATAGCACATATCTGCATAGATGCATTTACCGGTGACATATCCCGCATGGTGTATGAAAAGTATTTAGTTGGAAAGTTGGCTGCTGAAACAATTACAGATGGTAAGTGGAACAAATCCATAATTGATTGTAATATTATTTCAAAGATATAGGATATCACGTTTGTGTCTTAAGTCTTTTGTTTTCTATGATATTGAACGATTCGTCTGAACATCTTTTAAATGCGAATTCAATTTCAAGAATTCTATTATATTTTTAGATCAAACCTTTTTGAAAAATTTTCTTAAATGTCCATACCATGTGTTCCCCTGTATCACGACGAAAAAGCTTAATTATACAGTCCTCCGGACATTTTAGTGAATATTCTCTACAGAGCATGAACATCTTAGTTGAGCCAAAACTAATGGGGTTTGTCGGGGCAGCTCTCGCTCTTCAGCTGCGATAGGAGGGGATGGTCTCCTAATACAGTCTTCACTCTATATCCTTCCATATCTTCTGAGACCGCGTTAGAGTGAATACTATTCAGTCCCGCTTGATAGCCCTGTTGATCTAGATGCTCTCTCTTGTACCTCTCTCTCTCTAGATCATGAAGGTCTTTCCTTACGTGCCTGGGCGGAGGTTGCCCATCCACCAGATGGTGATTCGGATAGATCTGTCGGTATTACGTATACCCCCGGCCTTGAACTATGATTGGACTATATCGACTATTTCCTATACTTTATATGATATATGTGAAAATTTTGGGAAAATGTGGAAACATGCGTGAGGTTACAGATATAGCGGACCGAAGTATTCCATTTTCATACTTCATCTAATACAGATAAAAATATTGGTATGTTCAAAATTTGAGAAAATCAAAGATTCATATTCACTTTTATGCGAAATCATAAATTTCGATAAATTACATATACATATTAGATTTCTGCTTAAGTAAAGAAACGCCGACTTGTTTCGCAAGTTATGACAATAAAAGTATTAAAAATTGTGATTCTTTGTGGGTTAGGTACCAGAAGCGGTTTGCAGATATATATCATCTTCACAACAGATCCTACATTATCAAAAATATTTGAATGTGTGAAATTTGAAGAGAGTTGGATGCTTATTTCGCTTTTTTGAGCGTCTTGTTTTTCAACATTTTGAACCCTTTATGGGGAGGGTTAATTTTCTGTTTTATGAGTTTCATGAATACTCCAAATGTTGACCCTTTGTGGGGGATATACCAGAAGGATTGGACCGATATATCTCATCTTCACCCAAGACCTTGTGATAGTAAAAATATTGTGATGTGTGTAATTTAAAGAGAACCGGATGCTTATTTCAGATTTTATGATCGTTTTTGTTATTCAAAACTTTGACCCTTTGTGGAATGGTCCGATCTCTACCATCTTTATAACAAATCTTGTGTTCATGGAAATGTTTAGAAGTGCCTAGTCTGAATGGAATCGCATGTTAATTTCGTGTTTCATGAGCTTCATGAATGTTCAAAATTATGACTCTCTGTGGGGGATGTCCCAGAAGGAGTGGACCGATGTATTCCATCCTCACACCAGACCTTGGGTTAATAAAAATATTGTGATGTGTGTAATATAAAGACAATCGGACACTTACATCACGTTTTATAAGAGTTATAATTATTTAAAATTTTGGCAATTTTTGGAGTGGATCGATATTTTTTTTTTTTTTTGGCACCTGACCTATATTACGATGTACCAAGTTTGGATCAAATCGGATACTCCCTTCGAGAGTTATCACACCAGCCAGCCAGACAGACGGACGGACATCGCTATCTTGTGTCTAAAACCGTAATTTCGATAAGACACGTTGAAAAGTTGGCTTGCGATAGTTCCTTTCCATCTTCCGAGCAAACTTCAGGTTTGTTTTGATAAGCTGTAGTTTCTTAATAGTGTGTTTCGTCGGATCCGCATCAACATACCGAATGCAGTAGTTTAATGCTTTCTTGTTCTTTGCCTTTTGGTACTTTTGGCGTCCAGAGAAGTCAGTCGTAAGATGCCAATCATTTATACTGGTATTGAGGCTCTATGATTTTGCCCGATTAAGCAACTCTCTCCCTCTATCTCTGTTTGTTCAATCCTAATAAAAATAACATATTATTACCAGTTTACTTCATCTTGATGTAAATAAGAAGTTCGAGCGAAAGGAACTGAACAATATCACAAAAAATTAATTTTTAAGTGCTTAACGAAATACGTCGGCTTGAATGTTTTTATATTGGGATGACTACTTTGAGTCAAATTGGGTTCTGAGATCATGGGAGAGAGTATTACATCTTTTTTTGGTCAATTGTGTCTTTCCTGAAAAAAACTGGAAAAAAACGTGTAGCAATACACCCATATTAATAGACAAAAAATTGAAAATGGACTACACCTGTTCCATTTCGCTTAAAAGCGCCCAGCAATCTATGCGTTTCGTCTACAAATCAAAGGCACTGGCAAAAAAAATTATTTAAATATCCATGCGGTATTGGCCAGTAATTTCCACAATGAACACGTTTATCTCGGCGTTATAAAGACTAATTAAGGACAGAGTTCTAGATTTTGAAAATACCTTAAACCTTGGTTCTTTACTTCTCTAAAGGAGGATAACAAAAGATCAGCTCTGGCGGCCAGAATTTGCTAACATTTCAGGAAGAAAATTACAACACCATGTGTGTATCTTAAATAACATTATAACAAAGCATTCGATCTTTCGCACATTATGGTGTAATCTATCTTCAGATTATTACAATTTACATTTTAAATTACATTAAGTAAGAAATTCCCACGTTGAACAAAATCTGTTCTTCGTTTATGCAGAAAGTTGCCGCTTCGAAACCTATAAAAAGACCACCTCATTGTAAAATAAATGTAACGTTTATTTGCTTTTTTTTACTTCTACCTTTCACCGTTTACCCGAAAACCCCTCTGCCAACATATCATCTAATGCCGCGACATAACGTTCATGTCTTTCTAAGCATCTTTGCACATGCAATTAAATGTTAATTACTTCTTTGTATTTTCTTTGTCATAGACTTGCACATTTTATTACACTCGATTCTATTAACAATGTTTCTTCTATTTTTTTCTTTTCAATATCTTTATTATTTTTCTTTTCAAGCATTTTTTACGCATTCCCACATTGTGTTGGCATATAACACCAATCAGGTGACAGTTGTGCATCTACAAAAGCCCAACACCCGGCAACAAGGTCCTGAGAAAATTTCCAACATGGAACCGAAAATATTTCACGCCATTATACCGGGTACAGCCGAACGAAAATTGGCACGCCGCATTAGTGTAAATACCAGCCACGATATGTTTGTTATATGGACAAAGTCATCACAAAACGAGGTGTTTCCATGGCGGCCAACAATACGGGATCAGGATCGTGCCAACATACATGTTTTCAAGTTGAAGGGGTAAATTTTGCTTTGTTGTTGGCATAAGGAAATGTTAATGAAAAACCGTTTTCTTTTTTCATTATCAGAAATCAATTGGATTTCTTTGCCTATTGTTGGTCAGAGAATGATCCAATGTGTGTGGATTTTTTACGTTCTACCGAAAATCAAATTTTAACTTTGGAACAGAAAATTTCACGCAAAGGTGAGATTTCTGCAGAAGTCTGCAGCTATGAAATAGTTGTGGGTAAAATGCAAAGAACACCGCTGTCCTCCATTCCCGTGGGTACACAGATAACATGTTTCGCCTTCAGTCCAGATCAGGAAAAACTGTTTTTGGGCAGTGCAGATCGTAATATATGCCTGCATGATTTAGTATTACAGTCAACCAAATGTGTTACACAAATCGATATTGTAAGTAACCATACATATCATAGCATAAAATGTGTTGAGCTTTGATAACCAATGTCCATCTTGTTATAGGTTCCCATACAATGTTCCTGGCACAGTGATTCCAGTTTAATAGTGATTGCCAACACAAGATCACAATTTCAATGTTTTGATTTGGCCCTAACTCCTGTTGGCAATCAATTGCAAAGTGAAGATGTCACACCGTCCAATTTACTGGATTTGTCACATTATTTCTCGGCCCAACCAACGTTGTTGCAAATATCATTTAGCCGTAAACCTGAACTTCACCATTATTCACATCCTTATGCAGCCACAGATTGTTTTCTAATATTGATATACGATCAAGGTCCCATTGGTTGTTTACGATTTTTTGCCGGGGCTGGTATGCGTGGTGATATTCATAACTCGGGTCTAACAGCGGATGTTATATTAGATAAATATTTGGCTCTCAATCAATTGGAAAAAGCCGTGAATCTTCTAAATGCCCTGAATTGGGAGACATATGGAGCCGTTTGTCTAATATCATTACACAAAATTGCCAATCATGTTTTCTATAAGGGCGATCAAAAGAAAATTCGCATTGAACTAATGAACAAAGCTCTAAAGACATTTTCCGATTCCCTTACAGAGGAGACAAAAGATGAATTCAGTGATCAAGTATTTGATTTAAAGAGACGGTTTTTCTTTTTTCTCTTAAGGTAATCATGTCGAAAAATATTTTTAATGCTTTTTACTAACAAGGATCCTCTGGTATGTTTAATTGCAGACAAAACTTATTTGCTGAAGCCTTTGAAGTAGCCCAAGACATTGAAGACTATGATCTATTTATGGATCTTTTCAATGTTACAAAATGTGATCCAAATCTTGCTGAATTTTCTGCTGCTTGTTTTAGCCAAGCTGCTGCCATTCTCCACGAAGAAGATATGGTTAATGGCAATGTAAGTGCCAGTGATTTTCGTTCCGAATCCGTGTGTTCACAGTCGACGGGTAGCGAAACAACCAATTGTCGCAGCAAATTGCAACAACATCAAAAGTTTCTTAAAGATTATGTGCCACCACTGCCTTCGTTTAAATCGAAAGTCTTTAATGCTGAAATGATAAAAATCAATTTACCAAAAGAAGCCCAATCAACCGAACCTCATATAGTACAACATCAAGAAAGGACAAGACCACCACCTCCTCCAATACCGGATAAAAAACAGACTAAATTAAATCCTACAACATTATCGGCCGCCAAGACTGCAGCGTTAAGTAGTAATTTAGCCAATTTAACTATGAAAAGTGCAAGAAATTCAGTGCATTCCAATAATGCAACAAATGTACATAGTTCCTCCATTACACCACAATGGTCCGATTTGGGCATATCATTGAAAAATTCATCTACAAAGTCTGCCTTTACTCCACTTTATAATACAAACAGCAATGGCGGTGGTGTTGGTGGGATCCATGGTCTAAATGGTAACATGAATTTACTTTCACCTTCCATTTCCTCAACTTCGTCATCTCTTGGTGGTTATTTACAAACTACAAGTGATTCCTTAAATAACAATCATGCCAATATGGGGGGAGGACACCAACAACGGTATCATGCTATGGCATCAGCAGCAGCACCACCTACATCATCCTCATCAGGAGTTTTACCCATTGCACCAATTGCCATGTATCAACCAAAATTCTTTCAACATCCGTTGGTATCCGGCACAATACCATCATCATCATCCGGTGGTGGTACATCTCTTGCTGCCCATAGTATATCCAATGAAGAATATCAAAAAGTTTTATTAAGTAAAAAACCCACAGCTTCAATACTTTCGAATGGCTCGACAACACAAAATGGTAGTAACACATCGGTACTGAGTGGCATTAGTGGTACACAAAATGGTCATGTTAAAGATGGCAATAAAAATCCAAATGGAGAGAAAAATAAAGTGAAATTTTCGGATACCGTACAAGTGGCAGTTGTACCGGTAAGTATAAATAGATTTGGCTATATTTGTTGTATTAAAACGAATAGATACGTATGTGATAATTTCCTTATTTGTCCCATGGTGAAGGATAAGTTCCACATCGACTAAAAAACAATTACCCGCTGATCCAACTGTTTTGTCTTTTTTCTTGTAGTATCATAAATGAAATCTTGTATTTCTTTAGAATAATTAATATGTTTTCTTTAATTGAAAGGCTGTTGTTTCTTTGCAGGAAATACCACGAAGAGATAAATCCCTGATAGCTAAACGTAATGGTTATGCTCGCCCACCTCCAAGGAACTTTACAAACCCCAAAAAGGAATTACAGGATAGTTTACCCCTATGTCATCCAAACGATGATTATCTTAAAGATTTTAATCCATTGTCCGCAGGTAGCCAGCCTTGAGAAATGACAACATGTTTTGTTGTTTTGTATATATTTTGTTTTTTTCTTTGTACATAAATCAAAACTGACTGTTGTAAATTTTTAGCCGAATCTCATAGGGCAGCAAATGAACTACATTATTATCAGCCTTCTACAAATACCAACAATATCATCACAACAAATAATGGACATAGTGCGACGTCATCTGTAACTCATGCAAATACCACAACATCCAATGGAACGCCAATAAAGGTGGTACATTTTGGTGTTGTTTAATGCGTTATGTATAAATTAATTGTGCATTGTTTTTGTTTTCACGTTTATCTTTAACACATGTCTTCCAAATCGAATATATCAAATACATTCCCCTGCATAGATGTAAAGCTTTAAATCTTAATTATAGTAATGGTTATGTTTATAAGTTAATAGTTAGAAAAAAAAATAGTTTTTTATCACATTATTATTATCAATATTTATAAGGATTGTTAAATGTTCTTTAATTATAGCAAATATTTGATTACGAGTGCAAAAAAAAGAAAATATATTTTTTATAAATGTTTTTTTTTTCTTTGCAATTTATTTTCTTATATCGAAATAAAAACAAACAATTATTTATATGCACAGACTATTACTTTTTCTTTCCGCCGCTACCACCACTTTGCATTCTCTCCAGCTCAGCTTTAAGTTCTAATAAATCTTTGTCGGGTACATAGCGTCTTTCTTCGCATTCATCGGTGTGTTCCTGAACTGTTAATTCAACACCTTCAGGTAATGCCGCCTGTGCAAGACGTAGAAATGCTGGATACGCCGGGACATCAACATCTTGCAATTGAATGTTACGTTCATAGATTTTAAGGCGATATTCTGAATCGGTGACCATTGAGTTGGGTTTTAATCTTTGTACGGTCATATTTTGTGGAGGAAGCGCATAACTACAACGAAGTAAAAAATAGCCCATTGAATTCTATATGATAATTTGGTTGTAAATCAAAATACGTAAAATTTAAGTAGATATTTATGTCAATTTTTTTTTAAAACATGGCAAAATATTTGCCAACCACCGGCAAATACATTCCTTTCATTAAATCTCTGAGTGATTGAGGAAATTTTCTATTAGAAGGGTAACAACTTTTTTGTTAAAGTCTCCACAGGTTGTCTCTAAATGGGAATTCCCACTGTGTGGGGAGCTGTCAAATACTAGCTGTATAACTGCCCAATGCATTTCAATAGGATAGGCGAATGGGAGAGCATAGGGATCAACATCGGAACTCCTTTTCCGACGTGGTGCCAACGATTCTTCTGACCAGGTGGCATAACTTGCCCCTACTGTGCATAAGTATAATTCGTAAAATAACTACATATTCACTTCTTCTTTCGTTTATCCCTGCTAAAACTATTTTTCCTTTTTCTATTTCTTCCCTCATACCCTTCACTCTAAGGATGAACACAATGGACATGAAGGCCTGTGAGTGGAGTAGTTTTCATGCATGGCAAATATAAAGTATTAGACATAATTTTCTTACTCTCCGCAACGATTTTCCACTTAGGGACCTATCCCACACTCATTGGTGTTGCACTACCCACATTTTTTGGCACTCGACTTCAGTGGAGGACTTATTAAGTCTTCGATAGCTATATTCAGTTTGGTGATTCGTTTCTCATTCTTACCGCTGGACTACCCAATATGTTGTAGGAATCTCAACATTTAGTTCACTAATAAATCCTGCTGCCTTCCTGAACGTCAGGTTAAGCTTTCGTAGAATAATGTTTTACTGTGCCTTTGCCAATCTTAACTTTGAAGCTCAGATTATTATCTCTATAGAGTTCAGACCATAATCTCCAATATTTATGATTGGTGTACGGAATCACTGTTTCGTCTATTAAGGATTAAGCCGATGTCAAATTCCATATTTCCAATAAGATTTAGTAAGTTCAATGAGTAGCTCTCAACATCTTCAAAAGCGTCAATGAACTACAATAGAGTATCTCAATACATCTTCTTTTTTATGCATAGGATTTTCTCATAGAGTACCCGTTGAAAATATATATAACCTAGTATAGGAATTACAGAGGGCCCAAATCACAACATCAATGCTTATTCAGTCCCTGGTGGCCTTTACTCAAAAATGGGGCCATAGGCTATGTTATTAATTGGAATAAACATTATTTCCAATAAATTTTGCCAAAAAAAGATGATTCCTCTTACCAATCGGCTACATCAATGTCCAAATATTCGGCAACATTATGCAGGTAACGTTGATAGTTTTCCAAAATTGGATAATCGTAGCCCTTGATTTGGACATTCAGATTAGGATACTGGGGATATTGTGGTTTGAGGGACTAAAAATAAAAATCACTAAAATAAATCCTTTCTATTGTTTTCCGCAAAAAAACATACGTCCAAATAATCCGGCTCGTACACATCTGTGGCGAGGACACACGAAGTTGTCGCCACTTTTCTCGACACTTGCACATTTGTTTGCTTCAAAACTTGGCCAATGAGAGGATGGAGCTTAAATAATTTAATAAAATTCGAGTTTTTTATTAATGAATTTGTTTTATTTTATTTACAATTTTATACCTTCCGCAACATCTTGTTTTTTTGGTTATATCACAAACAGACAACGAAGCTGAATGGTTTACTTAACGGCGCGAGATATTTTCCGCAAATCAAATTAGAAAACGCTCCAAACCATGCCAACAGCTGAGACAAAAGAGAATGGTCAACAATGAACCCATTATTTTGTTTACGAATGAATGTGATGCATAATGCCGGATAGAACTTTGTTTACGAATGAACAAATGACGAATGCGACAACAAAGCCGAATGAATTTCCTGTCGACGGTTTGCAAAGTACTGTAAATAGCCGGTATCGCGCCACGATTTTCATTGTTTGCGTTTATAAACAATGTATCTAATATATATGGACAGAAGAGAATATATGAGAAATCGTGTGTTTACTTGTTTTGCATCTGTCAAATAAACAGAAATAAAAAACTAATCAAAATACACAAGGGTACTGTGAACCTAATTGATTTGACTCTCCGGAAATTATATAAAATATGAAATTATATAAAATACTGAAATTATATTAAAGCAAATACGACAAAAACAAAAGTCAATTAGTCTTAAATCAGAGTTGTCTTTTACGACCGTGTATTTACTGTTGCGCTTTTTTCGTCATTGTCATTATGAAATCATTTTTTGACATTATGAAAACATGAAAAACAATTAAATATTGCTGAAAAACAAAAGAAGATTAAAATGGAACAGTGTTTGGCTTGCTTGTTTGGGATACCATAGTATTTTGTTGTTGCAAAATCGTCAGGCAAAATCCCATTATTGTCGTTTTTATAAAAACAACGTTTGTTTATGAGTGGAGAACGATGGAAATGTTTACCAGGGGGTAAGGCAGGGAATACCTAGGTTTCGGAAAAAGCCACCAATCCTCATCAGTTCCCTTGTTTCTTGTCTGGGATATTCTCCCCAGAAGTTATTTAATAAAATAACTTCTATGACAAAAAACATTTTTTACCCAAGTGACGAGATCGTAAGCTCAATAGAAGAGGAACAAAAGAATTACATAAAACTAAAATTCTTTTGGAAAATCTTCTAAATCTTACAACCGCACTTATAAACATTTACATCTTTCTCCACTTGTTATGCTTTCGTTCAACCTGAACGAAGTAACATAACCATGTATGTTTACTTTACTTCGTTCAGGTTGAACGAAAGCATAACAAGTGGAGAAAGATGTAAATGTTTATAAGTGCGGTTGTAAGATTTAGAAGATTTTCCAAAAGAATTTTAGTTTTATGTAATTCTTTTGTTCCTCTTCTATTGAGCTTACGATCTCGTCACTTGGGTAAAAAATGTTTTTTGTCATAGAAGTTATTTTATTAAATAACTTCTGGGGAGAATATCCCAGACAAGAAACAAGGGAACTGATGAGGATTGGTGGCTCTTTCCGAAACCTAGGTATTCCCTGCCTTACCCCCTGGTAAACATTACCATCGTTCTCCACTCATAAACAAACGTTGTTTTTATAAAAACAACAATAGTGGGATTTTGCCTGACGATTTTGCAACAACAAAATACTATGGTATCCCAAACAAGCAAGCCAAACACTGTTCTATTAATAGACACAGGCACGGTCGACGAAGGGGTTTTTGTTGTAACAGACAAAACAAACTTACATGGTTATGTTACTTCGTTCAGGTTGAACGAAAGCATAACAAGTGGAGAAAGATGTAAATGTTTATAAGTGCGGTTGTAAGATATAGAAGATTTTCCAAAAGAATTTTAGTTTTATGTAATTCTTTTGTTTCTCTTCTATTGAGCTTACGATCTCGTCACTTGGGTAAAAAATGTTTTTTGTCATAGAAGTTATTTTATTAAATAACTTCTGGGGAGAATATCCCAGACAAGAAACAAGAGAACTTATGAGGATTGGTGGCTCTTTCCGAAACCTAGGTATTCCCTGCCTTACCCCCTGGTAAACATTACCATCGTTCTCCACTCATAAACAAACGTTGTTTTTATAAAAACAACAATAATGGGATTTTGCCTGACGATTTTGCAACAACGAAGATTAAAATGTTTGCAATTGTTTTCAAAATTATTACCAAAATGTTTATTCATAAATTTTATGTGGATACAAAAATAGGCTTAACTCTAATTTAGTAAAAACCCTTATTTTTTTTAATTTTCTTCCAGTGGTAGGTATTTTTACCCTGATTCCTGGAAACAATTTTTTTCTTGGGGGACGGACCCGGGACCAGGCTTTTGACCTGAAAAATGTATTACCACAAATTGTAGCTTAAAAATGACCCTTATCATGTGACAAATTGTTGGATAGGTATTAATAAGCTTTCAAACAATACCTATGATGTCTATATCGGGTAAATGGATCCGGGTTCAGTCCGGGTCTTGAACCCGGACTTTCGGGTCTGGGGTCCCGGGTCCGTCCCCCAAGAAAAAAATAGTTTCCCGCAATTTTTATCATTCACCTTTGAACTTGGCTTTTGCAATTATATATGACAATTTTTCTTGTTGATCATGACATTCTTTACCATTATTATTTTTATTTTTTTTTTTTTGTATATAATTCTTGTGTTATTTTTGAAAACTCCATTCATATATAAAAGCACAAATATCAGTCAGCTCCATTGAACATTGAATGGGAAGGTAGTGCTCATGACAAATTCGATATCGACATTTTGTATTTTAAATCCTATTTTTTATATACACAGGGTATACTTTTTCAATACATAAACTCTCGTCTGTGCAGTGTTCTGATAATAGAAAAAAGCGGAAGGATAAAACAAATTGACTTTCAAATCAGATATAAGCTAAGTATTACCACTCACGAAATAAAGGTGACAGTACATAAACAGCTTGAAGTCTTCGCAAGGAATATTTTGTGACATATCATAAAGAGATGCCATAATAATAATTTGACATTAATGTACCTAGCCATGATGCCCAGCTGCTTATGTACCCTCACATTAAGTACTAATTGAAAAAAAAAAAAAAACGATAGTTTGCGGACCATTTCCATACAGTTAACAATTATTGCTCTGTTCCATAACCTGCAAAAATCTACTAGTTTTGCAATTTTTTTCGATATCATGAAGAGAAAATCGGTTATCGTAGTAAAAACTTTTACATTCTTGTAGGTTTGGAACAGAGCACTTACATATTCAGAGGAATGTTTCATATCATTCCTTTAAATTAAAAATTGAAATTAAACATTTTAGAAATTACATTTCTGCATTTTGAATAATAATCCAAGCTCCCAACATGTACATATGGCTCAATAAGAAAGGTTGCTCAACTTCACAGAAACTAGAAAAATGCAACTCTGTAACGGAGTCTTATAGTGTTTAGTTAGTCAGTTAGTTTTGTTTATTTTTAATTTTTTTTAATTCTTAAATTGGGGAAAACCCGCGAAACTAGAATGGAATTTTGGGGTTATTCCACAACATTGAATCTAAAATAGTAGGGCAATACAGTTTATCCTAAAATTGGGCAATGTGTTGCCCATCAACGTCGAAAATTTATTTTGCAACCGAATTATTGCATTTTTTATTTAAAACAACACACTCGGCAACCCTACTTCGCAGTTAATGCTAACGGGTATGCGATTACTTTTCAACACTGCCCAATCTGACAACAGAACATTTCTAAAGCAGCGCAGTAGCAGAGTGTCAGAAAGGAAAAAAGTAATATGTACGTCGTGATAGAAAAATAGTTTTTCCGATTGAAAATATTTATTTGATTCATGAATTTACCAAATAAATCAAGTAAATTGAGTTGTGGACGACGTTATTAAACACGTATATCGAATTATACACGACCGGCAAATAGGAAACGGTAAAAAATGATGACAACAAAACAAATAAAAACCTTTCTGTATTGGGTGACGTTGCTGGAAATATGGGGAATCGTTTCATGTATATCGGATCCAGGAATAACAAAATTCACACTGTCACCCGTGAGTTAAGTAACCATAGAAATTTCGTCCTTAGTACTAATCATATTTTCATTGCTTAGAATGCTCCAACCGAACGGGAAATGAGACCTCTATTGGCCAACACTAAAATCTATGCAAAATGTAAGTGGTTTTGTAAGCGACAGCTTGGTTGAAGGATGTGGGTGGAAGACAGTAGAAACCCCCCGGAATAATTATTTTTCTTATAATTTCATTGTAGTGGAGTGTGAAGCCAATACTGAAACTGAATTTGATATCATCATTAGTACATCGTTAGTGGAGCGACAATGTTGGTTCGATGCCCCCGATGTATGCCACGCATCATATAATTTAAATATATTTGTAATTAATTCCATTATTTTTACATAGGTTCAAAAAGCTTACGATATACTGGAAAGTCAACAAAGAGCCCAAAATCAAAGTGCCCAAGTGGTGCATAAATACCAGATAGACGGTACATGTCCACATCATCTAATTGTTTTGGAAATACCCAACACCGAGATCCAAGGGGCTGTTGCTAATGCATTAACTTCTGATAAGACGACCGTCAAGCCAGGCGACACAACATCACAATTGACGGCTAAATCTCCTGCTGATACCATGAAGAATGCCAAACATCCATTGTCGGTAAGTTTAGAAAATTAGTGGGTGCGGGCGTGTGTGTATTCATGTTTTGCAGTAAATTTCATGAATCACAGAAGTAATTACAGTCGAAACTTTTATATCGTTTATCTGATTATTTCAAAGGTAATACTAGAATGGCAATGACATGAACTTCTAGGGCCAATTTGCAAATATTTGTAAAAATCTTTTCATTTATAAAAAATGCCTATGAATTGTTATGTTCACCAAATTTAGAGACACTAAAATTTCTTATTGGGATTGTACTTGAAAAATGCCATATGTTTCTTTTGTTTCCTGATTAAAAAATCACCGTATAAAACAACATAGAATTCTTTTTGTTCGTCATAACCTTGTTCAACTGTGTTAAACCAATGTATTGTTTAGGTTCCACCTTTCACAAGCAAAGACTTCTTATCTTTAGGTTGTTTTATAAAACTCTTATCACTTAAAATACTTACAATTTTTTACCCATTTTTTTCTACGCAAAACATTTTGTTTCCGATATCAATGTTTCCAGTAGTATATCAGAAAAAAAATAGTTTCTCAAATGAATTAATTAGTACCCAGTATGTTTTTTTGCCGGGGGACAAATTTGCCACACGCCATGTTTCAATCATTATTTATATATGAGGCGGGGTGATTTTTATACGTTTATAATTGCTCATTTCTAGAACCTGCAAGAATTAAAAAAATTCTACTCCAACCGATTTTTCCTTTATCAAAAAACACAAAACCTGTAGATTTTTGCAGGTTCTGGGGAAGGATCTCCTTTTAACGTATGTATCGTTTTCACATGCGGTAAGAGAAAATCTTCAATATCAGCTTATACAGACTTTTGCTAATGTCCCCGTTTTTACGGGGACAATGAAACCGAAATCGGTCGAAGATGTATGGGAGCTATATCTAAATCTGATCCGATTATCACCAATTTCAGTTGGGTTCGTCCTTGGGCCAAACAAATATTAATTGCAAAATTTCATCTCAATCGGATAATAAATGCGACCTGCATTTTGTTCACAAGAATACATAGACGGACGGACGGACGGTCTGACTTGCATAAATGACTCAGAAAGTGATTCTATGAATATCCTCAGAAGTAACTGTGGGTCTATCTCGCTTCCTTCTCCCTGTTACAAACAAATGCACAAAGACATAATACCGTTACCACTATGTGGTGTAGGGTATAAAAAATGCTGCCGTTTTCATAATCGCAAAGATCTTTGCTAGAAAAACACTGGACATTCTACCCAACTGGAAAGAGTAGGTCATTCCTAGTTGCGGACAGAAGACTCCGGCCCACGTGCTTTCTTCCATCTTTGATCCGTCTGTATATATCGGCAGACTGATTAGAAATAGGTTGGCTCTGCTTAATTCAAATTCTGTCAAACCTCGTGGTGGGAGGTATGTAATCCCTGTTCTGTTCATGAGAGTTGAAGTTGAATTATTATTATTATAGTCTAAATTGTTTATTATTATAACATAAAAAATAAAATTTTCTTGTTTCGAAATAAAAAAATCAATGATTTCCTTAGCCAACCAATCGACCATTGTACACCGTTTCACATGATGGCATCTACGAACTGACCATTACTGTTGAAACAAAAACACCAGAGGCCGCTGAGTTTTCAGCCATGGTTACGGTGGAAATGTTGGGACCCTATGGTTATATATCGGCTACCGATTTTCCATTCTTACCGGTAAGTTTATATAATTTTTATCACCTCAAACAAAGAAATTAAAAATATATTCTTCCATGTAGTTCTATGGTATAATGTGCATTGTATATGTAATATTTGGCGTCATTTGGTTGGGTGTCTCCTTTATGCAATGGCGTGATTTGTTGCGTATACAATTCTGGATAGGCGGTGTAATTTTACTGGGCATGTTGGAGAAGGCATTTTTCTATGCAGAATATCATTCAGTGAATACTAGTGGTGTTTCAGTGCCTGGAGCTGAATTAACAGCTGAATTTGTATCGTGTGCCAAAAGAACTTTGGCTCGCATGCTGGTTATAATAATGAGCTTGGGTTTTGGTATTGTAAAGTAAGTAAAATTGGGACAAAAAATGCCAAATTATGAACTATACATATGTTTTTTTTCTCTCGATTATAGACCTCGTCTGGGTCCATTGTTACATCGTGTGGTAGGTGTGGGTTTGTTGTATTTCCTGTTGGCTTGTGTTGAAAGTTATCTACGTGTTATGCGCAACAAACCGGACATACAAAATGAATTACTGGTAGCCAGCATTCCATTGGCAGTTTTAGATACCGGTATCTGTTGGTGGATCTTTACATCTTTGGTTCAAACCACACGTACATTGCGTTTGAGAAGGTTCGTACAACGCGGTTTTCTTTCATTATAAACTAATAATTTTTATTCCTTAATTTCAGAAATATGGTTAAGTTGTCACTGTATAGACATTTCACAAATACATTAATATTTTCGGTAATTGCTTCCGTCATATTTATGTTGTATGCTTTACGTTTACGTAAAGCAGAAAATTGCACGCCGGTAAGTATTCTATTATATAAAGCTATTTATTAACAGTATAATAACAAATATTTATTGTTTATTTAGGGCTGGCGTAATATCTGGATTGATACAGCATTTTGGCACATCCTTTTCTCAGTTTTGTTGTTGGTTATAATGATTTTGTGGCGTCCCACAAATAATAACCAACGTTATGCATTTACACCACTGCTTGATAATCCAGAGGATGAGGATGATGAAGGTGAGTCGACACGTTGTCTACTATGTGAAATTAAAATCAACATGAACCATGGAAAAGGGACATTGATCACGTTAAACAAAATAACGGTGACTGATAGGTGTATGAAATTCTATTTTTATCGAACTTGAAGAATTTATCAATGCGACGTGACTGCACATATCCCCAAACGACGGCCACACTGAACTGCGTGAACGTAATATCATCAAAGCCGCCCCCGCTCGCTATATACCTCGAATATACCCGAAACAAGAGCAAAATTCCCAGCAGATGCAGCGTGACAAGTAAATGAGCGCGATGTTCTCTGTCGTTCAAAACCTACTAATCCCGGGATCAGTGAATATGGTGGATAAAACTCCCCCACCCGGGCGTGTCAGGAAGGAAATCATTTATGATTTAGAGAGGAAGGCCCAACATTATTAGAGAGAGATCCTAGCAGACAGGTCTGAATCCCATTCATACTTTTGGAATGACAGATGCCATCAACAATTACAGTATGAATGCGTCCTAGGATGATGCGTCGGCAGTTGTGTCGTCTCAATTCGTGTCCAAATTGATGAAGACGTGCGAAACGTCTGCCCGACGTGTTATACAGGGCCGTCCAATGTGCAACACCTCTTTAATTGCAGTGCCAAACATACTCCACTCAGATTAGCAGAATTCGAACAAAACATGTGAAGTTGTTACAACAACAACATAAAGAAACAAACAGAACGAGTTAATAACTCCTTTATTTAGTTCTTTAATTGGATTTTTTATATCATATTTCATTTATCATTTGATACGCCCAAAACGTGCCTCATCGAAATAACGGTTTTAGACCCTAGATCTCTTTGGACCAAATCCGTATAAGGACATTTGGAGTCGATCTAGCGATGTCCTTCCATCCGTCTGTCTGGCTGGCTGACATGTGCGCACGATAACTCTCGAAGGGAGTATCCGAAATGATCCAAACTTGGTACATTGTAATATTGCCAAACTTAGATCAATTTCGGAGATGGGCAATATCGGTCCACTTCTTCTGGTACCTCCCACACAAAATGTCAAAGAAAATAATTTTCTGCACATAAAGTGAAAGGATAGGAACTTTGTGAATCCTAATATTTTCATCAGTGCTAGGTCAGGTGCGAAAATGGACAATATCGATCCACAAAGGGCCAAAATGTTGAATACCAACGAAGCTCATAAAACACGAAATTAACATCCGATTCCATTGAGGCTTGGCACATCTCAATATTTCCATCAACACAAGATCTGTTATAAATATGCTAGAAATCGGACCATTCCTGCTGGTACCTCCCCCACAAAGGGTCGCAGTTTTGAATAACCAAAACGATCAAAAAATCCGAAATAAGCATCTGATTTTCTTCAAATTTCACACATCACAATATTTTTATTAATCCAAGATCTGGTGTGAAAATATAAAAATAAAAACATATCGGCGCTCTCCTTCCGGTACCTCCCCCACAAAGGGTCAAAATTTTGAAAACCCATGAAGCTCATAAAACACGAAATTAACATTCGATTTCAATATTTCCATCAACACAAGTTCTGTTATAAAGATGGTAGAGATCGGACCATTTCCTCTGGTATGATTTATGATTTCGCATAAAATCGGATATAAATGTTCGATTTTCTTGTAATTTTGTCCATGCCAATATTTTTGCCTGTATTAGATGAAGTATGAAAATGGAATATCTCAGCTTGCATGCATATTTTAAGATATTCTAAAAATTATCACATACAAATCTCATATAAGGTGAAGAAAGTAGTCGTAATTGTCCAAACCTGGCACGTCGTAATATTTATATCATATTTATTTAGGTCCAATACGAAATGTACAATATTGGCCCATTCCATTGGAGCCTGTTCCATTGAGGGTCAACAATTTGAACAATCATACCGGAAGTCAAATTATATTTAAATAATCGAACATTGGCTGAGGGTATACATCTGTTGGCAAAACCGATTAATCCTTTATAACTTTTTTTTAATCGGATCATAGTTTTTTATTTTTGATTTTAATCTAATTAAAATAAATATTTTCCTTTTACCATTTCAGAAGAGGATCAGTTTGTGGCAGATGTTTATGGTGTTAAAATGCGCGGTACCAACAGTAACGGAGCCAAGACACCGCCATCTAAGACCACAACAAATGAAGAAGATGATCTACGTTGGGTAGAGGAAAACATACCCGAATCAATGGCTGATGTCACATTACCCGCACTCGATTCCGACGAAGAAATTATCAATACGAAATTCGAAGTGTCGAAAATGCAATAGATCGACAGCAAAAACTCATAATAATAACAAACAAGAGACAAAGATAAATATATATATACATAAAATAAGCTATGAGTATAAAAAATATTAATTATTATTTTTTTTTTTTTTTTTTGTTAAAAAATGAAATATTTATATGACTGTAATTGCTAGTTTAGCAAGAAGTTTTTTTTAATTTAATTTTTGCCTTAGTTTTATGACTTTCAAAATATGAAATCTGTAGAAGAAAACGTATGCGTTTAGCAGCACACATTTCATAGTATACACTAACTAATAATAACAACAAAGCCAAGTATTTCTTTTTCACACTTTCTCACCTGCATTAGAAATGAAAATAAGACTAATATTCTTTAAAAACAAAGCTAGTTTTCTTTATATTAATACATAAATTGCTGGTCAATCAAAATACTTAACAGAAAACAATCACTGCAACACCCTTAAAACATTTAGTAACGACAATTCATTCACTACACCGCAACGACCTGTAATCATTTGCATCCGCATATGCTTTGTATTTCTTAATTGTTCCTAAAAAAAAAGTAAAAATCACTGAAAATAAATCTTTTTTTTTTTAAGTACCAAACTCAAACAAAAAATATATGTAAAATATTTGTAAAACATATAGAGATTTGATTGTCATTAATTGTTTTTGTATGGAAATCCTCTTACTTCCTTCTTTTTCAAAAAAACAAAACTCCAATTCCTCATTCTTGCTCTTAACTTAGTTTAGGTTTAACATACAATACCTATATATATTTGTAGATATACATAAAATATGAAAAATGCTTTCGTATTAATACTTTTTATCACATCTCCATATAAAATGCTTTGTAAATATTTATGAAAATATTAAAAGAAATTATATAAATTAATAATAAGTTTATCTAAAAAAAATCAAATATCTCTTAGGTGTGTAAAAATGCAAATTAATTCATTGAAAGAACTTCTTTTACTCTAGTTTTTTTTTTGTTTTTTTTTTTTTAATTCCACTGGACTGCAATGAGGAAAAAATGAAAAAAAAAACAAAATTCCAATAGTAGAAGTTGTAATAGAATACAATACAAACAAAGAAAACAAAATGTTTAAAATTATTTTATTTTATATAAAAAAGGAAAATAAATATAATTTTATATAAACAGTACAATTTCGTGTTTTCATTAATTTATCAGGCATGCCATTGGAATAAATTCTGAACGAAAGTGGTTTTAATTTTAATAATCATTACTCGTTAGCAGACGTTTATGAGACAACAAATCGTATAAAACCAGCACTCTTCGAGCACTCCCGCTCTCGAGTATGTTTCACTCGCTAGTAAAAACAAGCTAATCTGAACTCTGGATAAGAGTTCAGGAGTCCCTGCTCATGCAATGTCGATCTTTATGACTTGGAATTCCAAAAAGACAGAGTTTTACCAATTCCAACGATGTAACCTCGTCTTTGGGGAATTTATTTTTTACTCTACAAGATATAGACTTCTTATGCCGAAATTCAACGTAAGACTGTAGTCTCCACTCTATCGATAACCTTACTTGTTCGGATGATAGGGTATTTCACAGCATCGAACGGTCATAATTTATTCATATTGGCTCAAATGGTTCAATGTTCTAGCCATTTTCCGCTTTACTTTTAAACTAATCCATTGTTTTCCAATGTTACTTCCTGGATTTAGTTGAAAAATTCGAGAAATGTACCTACTCTTAGTATAATCATCCGTTGGATTATCAAACTTCTAGTTAAAATAGTTCGATTAATTAATTAATCGATTTTCTAAAATTCTGTTATTATAAAGTATCTGAACAAGTAAAATAGTATCAGTCGGTTTTACCGACCGACAGGTTTTACTCCCAGCCTTGAGTTATGATTATTCAAACTCTTGACCTTTTATGGGAAAGGTTCCGAAGCGGTTGGCCAATATTGACCAAATCGTATCTGTCCTAAGACTGATATAAACATTACAACGTGCCAGATTTGGACTATATCGGCTACTTCCTATACTTTATATGAAATACGTAAAAATTTTTGGAAAATGTGGAAATATGCGTGAGGTGCCAGATATCTTTCCATTTTCCTACTTCACTTAATACAGATAAAAATATTGGTATGCGCAAAATTTGAAGGAAATCGAACATTTATATCCACTTTAATGGGAAATCATAAATTTCATATTCATCATCATCTACATATAGCAAGTTGTAAAGAACCCCTGACTTGTTTCGCAAGTTATGACAGAAATTGTGACCCTTTGTGGGTAAGGCATAAGAAGGGGTTCGCAGATATATATAATCTTCACAACAGATCTTGCGTTAGTAAATTTATTTGGTTGTGTGAAATTTGAATAGAATTAGATGCTTATTTCACTTTCTTTGAGTATTTTGTTTTTCAAAACTCCATGTGGGGGAGGTATTTGAAGGAATAGTTTGATCTCTACCATCTTTATAACAGATCTTGGCCAATTTTGATGGAAATATTGAGATGTACCAAGTCTGAATGGAATCGAATGTTAATTTTGCGTTTTATGAGCTTCATGGATACTCAAAATTTTGTGGGGAAGGTACCAGAAGAAGTGGACCGATATATATCATCTTCACTCCAGACCTTGGGTTAGTGAATATTTTGTTATGTGTGTAATTTCAAGACAATCGGACTCTTGCATCACATTTTATTAGAGTTATAATTACTCAAAATTTTGAACCATTGTGGGGAGGTACTTGATGGAGTTGACCGATTTTGTCCATTTTCACACCTGACCTAGCACTGATGCAAATAATAGGATTCGCAAAGTTGGAGCAAAATCGGATTATCCATTTTTTTCTGTGCAGTACATATTTTTTCGAAAACTTTGACATTTTGTGGGGGATGTACCAGATCCGGGCTCGATCTAAGTTTGACAATAATATTACGATGTAAAAAGTGTGGATCGAATCGGATACTCTCTTCGAGAGTTATCATGCGTACCAGTCAGGCAGACAGACGGACGGACAGACGTCGCTAGATCAACTCCAAATGTCCTGAAAGGGATTTGGTCCAAAGAGACCTAGGGTCTAAAACCGTTATTTCGAAGAGGAACGTTTTGGCCGTATCAAATGAGATATACCCTCTGTAGCCATATGGCTAAGGGTATAAAAATAAATGATTGTTCCAAAAACAATGTTATGTTATCATTTGGCGCCCAACGTAGTTGTAATGGGGGTTTCCTCCGGTGGCGGACCATTGTATACATGAGGCCACGTTTTCGTATAGCCCCCATATAACTATACACGGATTTGTCAAAAAATTCTCATTTGGAGTACGTAATAGGTGTTAGTTCCGATGGCAGAACATTGTCTATATAGGTTCAGGTTTTTCTATAGCCCCCATATAAAGGTACCCACCAATATGCGGCATTTTGATAATTCTTGCCACATTTTTTCCCAATAGATAACAATCCTTGTAGTAGAAAAATTATTTCCTCTTTGGCATGGCCCCATATAAAGTTTCGAACCACTTTATTGTATTTTAAAATGGTGGAGAGTATTAAAAGTTCGACTAGGCCGAACTTGTTATGCCCTCATTTGTATTTTATTTGATACTCGCCGAAATAGACACTATGTCTCTTAGAACGAAATCGGTTTCAGAACATTTGGAGTCGACCTGGAGTGTCCGCTTGTCTGTGTGGGGCGATCGATAACTCTCCAACTACGATATCCTCAAAACTTGGTATATCGTTATATTATTATCGAACTTAAGGTGAGAATACATAAAACGCTTTTTTGGCTGACTTAAGTCATCGTAGAGCCAGACGTTGACTTAGTTTGATTTTGGCCCTACGCTCCTTTGTTCTTTTCCAAAGAAGCCAGCCGAAGACTTAAGCCAGTCAACAAAGCGTTTTATGTATTCTAATCTCTAGATCGAGTTCGAAGATGGACAATATGGATCCACACCTTCGGGTATCTCAAATACAATGTGTCAAAATTTTAAAAAGACAGAATGCTCAAATTTCACACCTGCCAACATTTCAATGAAGACAAGATCTGATGTAAAGATGAAATATATCGACCTAATCCTTGTGGTACCTCCCTCACAAACGGTTCAAAATTTTGAATGATCACAACGCTTTTCAAAATTCGAAATAATCAAATTCAAATTTCACATATCCTAATATTTATAGCAATTTATGGAATTGTTCGGCCCACTCCTTCCTATATCTGCCCCTAGTTTGGATAATTATAGCCCTTTACAAACGAAACATGTCATGTTATTTCTATCAACCATACAGTCAAAATAAATATGGAATATGTCGGGCCCCACCTTCTTGTTTCTGAATCCTACGTACGACTGGCTCCCAACGTTTCAACCTTGACCGGAGGATAGTACCTTCAGTGTCCCCCAACTGCGTGGTGAGATTGACTGCACCAAATACTATCTCGGTTTTTTCTGCGAATCTTCATCTTCTTGTTTTAAACTGGCGCCCAACGTGAATGAAGGGTAGTACTTTCAATGTCCTTCAACAGAATGGCGCCATTGGCTGTATCGAACGTCTTTGATAAATCAAGCGCAACCTCAGTTATGGTTGCCTTAACGTCTGTGCTGGTTGAGTTCCCCCTAATATGTACGGAAATAACGTGCAGAGCTCTTGTTGTTCAGAGTCCGATTGACTAGGAAAATCTTTCCTTTTTCCAGGTGGGCGTGTCGTAATTCACTATGTAAATCATTTTCTGGCCATAATTCATGATGGACATTGAAAGCTCCATAATGGTTCCGCATTATGTGCATTTGATTGACTCAGAAGATCATTCCCAACAAGGTCTGCCAAAATCTAATTCACTACCATAGAACTATTCTTTCACAAACAACAGATATTTATTTTCGAGTGTTAATTCAAATTTTTTCAATGTGCGAAATATCGAACAGAGAACGCTCGAATGCGTTTGCCTTCCTGTGGATGGCTTGTTGCCATGATTATGTCAATCAAATTAACGTGTACTGGGTTAAATCTTTAACATGAACATAAAACGGCGGAAAACTATTTTAGGCATTTCAACACTTTTATTTTGTTGTTGTTAAATGCAATTTGATCAATGTTGATATTGACACCTGATGCCACCATGCTCGAACTATGCGATAAATACGATAGATAAATAATCAGAATGTTTGAGATGCACAGAAATTCTATTTGTAAAGCAAATCTAGAAATATAATTATGAATTTCAAATACTATAAAGGCCCATATGTGATTCTCCAAAGTCCTGCAAATGAGAGTGAGTTGACAATGCGATTTACATTACCGAGTTACTGAGGGTTTATAAATTCTTACTGAGAACATTTACTGAGTAGAAATGACCGAGTTATCAAACAAATCTAATATCGGGGCCTATAACATCTGCTTTTGGTTTCTGAATGGGCGACTACCGACCGAGCAGAAGCTATTTCCTTCAGAGTACTGTAGTCCACTGCATTCTTTCTGCATACCTTTAAAAAATTTAAACAATAATTAAAGTGAGAAAAGCCAATAGATAGATAGAGAGATGAGTATTTACAAGCGAATTAATTTTTTAAATGGGTATAAAAATCCTATACCAATTTTGAAAAGTATCACTGATTTGTTTCATAAGTTATGAGAATATAGACAAGTAAAAAAGCTGTAAGAATACCCTCCACTATTTGGAACGTATTTGGTAATTTTCAAATAAGAAAAATAAATAAAATCCTTAAAAATTCTGTTAAAATCTTAAAAATACCGAATGTATATTAAGGTCTATACGACGACATGGACCTGCATAGGAAACTTTTGTCATAAGCCATTAAAATATTCAAATGCGAAACTTGAAACGGTGAATAATGTAGCTAAAATCATCAAAATACCGAATATATGGGGGCTATACGAAGACGTGGACTTGCACAGACATTTTTCTGTCATAGGGTGTAGTATCCATTACGAACTTCAAATACCAAATTTGAAACAATTCCGGTGAATAATGTCGCTAAAATCTTTAAAATACCGAATATCGGAAGGGCCGTTATATGGGGGCTATACGAAGACGAAGGCTACACGAAGACAATTCAATTCAATCAAATACCATATTTGAAACAATTCCGGTGAATAATGTCGCTAAAATCATGAAAATACCGAATATCGGGAGGTACCATTATATGGGGGCTATACCA